CGTGTCGACATTTAGTTATTGGCTCTTATTCCTATGAATCCCTGGCCCTTTCCATATGCTGGCTGAAGACAGGCATCAATTCTTACAGTCTTCTGAATGTTAGCTATTATTTAGCACAGGCCCTTGTATATTATAAACACTCAGTAAGTTTTAAATCAACACATATTTATTGAGGAATACCTATGTGCAACATGCTATTGTTTAAAGGTCTTATTTAATGTATTGGCCACTAAAACAATGGGTTTAGGAAAACTCTAACAGCTTGTCAACTCTAAAGCTACCTCAAAGAATTTACTTAAAGAGTATAAAACATAAGAAAGCACCTTTGACTGAGAAGCTGTGGGACTGAAGATACTTGACTCTTCCCAGGGATTCCCAAATCTGGAAAAAGTCCTTTTGCCTCTCGTTACAAATAGCGGAAATAAGAGTGAGGTGCTTTACATGCATGTCCAAAGGAACACTGAATACAGAATCTTACAGTCTCCTAACAGGGTCTCTGTCTTCAGGGCATTACAGTGTTCTCTACAGAAGAGGAAAGGCCTGGGGAGAGCGTGCCTGTCCAAACTCACAGAACGTGAGCAGAAAGACTATCCCAGGTGGGGAAGCCTCGTAATAGAGAGAAGCTGAGACGGTCTAGAATACCTGCAAGTCTGCAGGACACAGGACTTCCTCCATCACTTGATGTATGACAACTGGCAGCTTCCTGTAATTCCCTACCAACCTGGTAGCATTGATACATCCTGACAAAGTAAAATACCTTCCTCTGGGATTCAGTCAGCTTGGGGATGGTCTTCCCCTTTTCTCATGTTCCTGCTCAAGAGACAGAATGCTCAGGAGATGCAGGTTTGAGTTCCAGCTGTGCCGGACACTCCCTGAGTAAAATCCAGTGAGTTGTCAAAGGCAGATAATGAGACCTGAACTGCATAACTCAAAGGGAAGATGTGAGGATGAAATCAGAAAATGGCTGGGAAAGTAATCTGAAAAGTTAAAAGCACTATACAAATGTGGAAGATAGCAGTGGTAACAGTAGAGGGAAAAGAGACTGCACTGAGAGAATGTTTAAAGCTGAATGGATGGTTCGTGGCACCCAGTGGTTTCCCTTCCTTTATCTTCCATTTGTTTGATTTAGAAATGACTGATTAGGTACTGACCATGTGCATGATAGTATGCGTCCACAAAGATTAAGAGGCTGTGGATCCTGCTCCCATGGACCTTAAAGCAGAGGGGTGCACCCTCATGGCACCTGTGGGGCGTGGAAACGCCGGGAGCAGTACTATGGAAGTGCAGAACAGAGTGGGGGCAGTGGGGTGGGGTGGGGTGAGGGGCAGGGGAGGAAGGACAGGAGAGACAGACAGTTAGAGACAGCCTCCTCAGAGGGGCTCGGAATTCTGTCAGTTAATTTAACAATAGCACCCTTAGAGGCTTTGCATTTGGGGAAGTGGCTTGTAGGTTTTGCATGTTTTTAATCTTAAAATTTCTCCTGAGCTAAGGCAAGTCAGTAAATAGGAAAAAAATCCTCACTCACACATTCAATAAACATTTACTGATTGCTGGGGACAGTGCTAGGGATACAGTGACAACAGAGTCCCTGTTCTCAAAACTCAAACCAGTGGGGTTATTGACAAGTCAATCAACAATTCAGGTACAGATATTAATGAGGGTCAGAGGGGCACCCAACTCAGCTTGACAGGGTCTTGGCAGGAGCTGTTCAGGGAAGACCCTCAGAGGAGGTGAGGCTTGCCCTGACTTTTGCAGGATGAGAGGACACTAGCCTGGTGGATGGGGAGGAGGTGGGTGGAAGTCAAGGGGTTTCAGGCAGAGGGACCAGCCCATACAGAGGAGCAGGGCCATGAGAGACCAGGAGAAGCTTGGACATGGTGGGTAAAAAGGGACAGCCAGATCCCGAGGGCCTTAGAAGGCATGGCCCAGAGTTAGGCTGTTATCCTGAAGATGAGGGGGGCGGTGTACAAGTGAGAAGAGAAAAGAGGATGGGCCCCAAGGAATACCAGTATGTAAGGATTGGGCAGAGGTGGAAGAGCCAGAAAGTCAGAATAAAACCCTATCTGCACAGTCTCCATCCTTTTCACAACAGACTTGGGTGGCAAAGCGTCAGCTAGGATTATCCACTCTGTGTTACAGTTGGAGAAAACAAGACAGAGACAGGTAAGGGTTAAATGCTTGATCAGCCACCCTGTGAATGAGGGAACCAGAAATGAACTTCTCACTCTAACTCCTCAACCCCGAGGTATAGGAAGATTTCTCCCAGGACTCCTTGTTCCTCAGCACTTAAGCCTAAGGAAAGCTACAATCCTGGGAGACGGCTGAGGCAGATTACAGTCACTATTCTTAATTCTACTTAATTCTCCCTTCATACCATAATAAACATGCACACAGAGGCAGAGAAGGAACAGAGAGAGGGGGAGACGAAGGAGGAGGGAGAGACGAAGGAGGAGGGAAGAGAGAGAAGCAGCTGGCCTGGGACCAAGAGGTGGAGGGGGGATCCAAGATGTGAACATCAAATAGCTTCTTCCTTGCAGGGCACACCACTGGGCCACCTTGCTGAAAGGCAGATGTGTGGACGGGTGGATGGGTAGATGGTGCAGGATGGCAGCAGGTACCCATTAAACAAACACGGGGTGGGCGGGCCACATGCTCAGAGGAAGCAGATTGCAAAGACCTCTCACTCTTTATGCAAAGTCCACAGTGTGCAAAGGGCATCAATATTGGACATTTCTCACTGTGACATTTTGAAAGCCCAGTCTAGCCCAGAACAATGGTTACTCTCTGGGGACCATGGTCTGGGTACCCCTAGGTCTTATTCAATGATGGCTGGCATATCCCATGTGCTTGGTGAACTTGACCTTGAGCATCAGCCTCCCATGCTGGCTCTACGTCACTATGGTCTCTTCCCCCTCTGAGAACTGCAGTCTTGGATGAATGGATGGATTCATTCTGGGAGCAGGAAAACCACTCCAGGAGTGAATCAGAAGGACCCAGCCCCGGTCCCCTTGCCAGCCATTGAGCCAGGAACTGAGTGTGATTGTATGCCCAGGCACTGGTGACTTTCCCATCTCAGGGAGAGAGGGTCAGGGTCCACGCAAGAGATGACGTAGAAGCCCTCTAAGGAGGAAGAGAAAGGAATCTCGGCTTTCAGGGACAAAGCCACCCTTTTGGCTGTGATCCTCAATCCAAGGAAGTGCCAAGATGTACATGTACTGATAAATGAATTTACTGGATAAAAAAATCTCAGCTTTGGCTAAACAGTTGTCAGTTTTAATTCTCTTCAACCTGCAGACTTTAGGATATAGGCTACTAGTTAAAAAACAAAACAAACAAAAACCTTCCTGCAAGACAGGTAGAAACAGCGTGCCTCAGATCACCAAGAGAATCCTTTACCTATAAGGGGTCTCTGCTCTATTCTCCTTCCAATTGGAGAAGAAGAGATTGATTCACTTTTTAAAATTGTAAATGCCAATCTAAGCAATATAAAGCATCTATGCTTTCTGCTTTTTACCTTAAAAAACCGGGGAAAAGAACTCCAAAGATTCAAGATGCTGTAGGTGGAGAGGACATCACAAGGTAGGGAGACCCAGGCTGGCACTCTGAGGAAGCAGTTCCTCTAGGAAAGAGAACTAAAGAATGGCCACTTTGCTCATCTCTAACTAGGGTGAAACAAGATGGGAAAGCTGGCTTTATTAGGCTCCAGCTCCCTATCAGCCTCCTGAAGCCAAGGTGAATGGGGAAGGAGCAGCTCCTGCTGGGGCTTATTAGGGCACTGCTTGGGGCTTTCCCTCACGTGCTGGTCTCACATTTGCCCATCAGTCTTTGTCCAAGAAGCAGGGGGAAGAAGGCACAGAAATATTTTAAATTTTACATTAGAGAGCTGCCCTTAACACTAACTGACATTAGCTGCTTCTGGTCAGAGCTTAGTCTCTACCCTTGGCCAAATGTGAGCCTGCAAGAACCTTCCTGAAGGATATTCTACTATCTTCATTCATTCCTAAGTAGTTATCATGCACTTTGTGTAAAGAAACAGGCTAGACTCTGAGGACAGAGCAGCAAACATTTTCCCTAGGGTAATGGAACTTGGACTCCAAAAGGGTTGGTTCAGTTTGTACATCTCTGGGGCTCAATGTACTCATACAATCACACCATAGTTGGATCTCCTGGGGTTGGGGTTGTGAATATACAGGTCTTTGGGCCTGCAAAGTTAAGGTCCTTTGGCAAACTGAGTCTTACGAAATATATCAACCATTTAAGCATTTGAGTGTCTACCGTGAGCCAAGTATCTCATAGTTTCGTAGCAACAAACCTTCCAGTTCTGGAGCTGTGACCCTACTACCCTAAGACTCCCTGGCTTCTATTCTCATGGCCTGATGGTTCCCATAATATTTAAGTTTACCTATTATCTATTTTAGAGGGGGAGCAGGGAGCGGTTAATGGCCTTGGAAATGATAAAAATTAGTCCAATCCCACACTGGGAGTTCGGGTGTTAAATTCTTCCCCTCTCCGAAACAGAAGCAAGTTTTGTCTTTTGAAGACTGAAGTGCTGCAAAGATGGATTTTGACGAGGGAACTGGGTCCACACTGCCGCAGTGAGGGTCAGCTCTGGGCCACACTCTGGGAGCGGTGGGGAGATGCCTACAGGGGAGAAAAAAGGCACTTCTCCACCTCCACGGATGTGTAAAAGAGGAAACAGGGCAGTCCCTCACCTCAAGCATCTGGGAGACGGGACCAGCACCTTGGATCTGAGTCAGGAAAAAAGTCAAACGCGGGACCCCGCACCCCACGTCCCCGTGAGTCCTGACGAGACGGAGCCTCCGGGAAAGCACCGGCGGAAGGCCCCTCGGACGACCCTAGGGTCGTTCCCAGCAGGGTCCTGCTCTGGACGCCGGCCCAGCGAGCAGGACGGGCAGTGCGGACGGAGAGCCCCCGGTGCGCGCAGGACAAGGCGCGTCGGAGGCCGGGCTCCAGGGCTCCATCCGCTGCGCCTCACTCACCAGCTCATGGTCCCGAAAGTAGCCCTGCAGCCGGGGTCCTCAAGAGCGCGCGGTCCTCGGGGATCACTTCCGGATTCAACCAGTTTCCAGGAAGTGACGTAACGACCACCCCCTGTGCCCGGAAGACGCTTGGGGGCGGGGCGGGCCCCCGCACCCGGGGCATTAACCCTTCCGCTGCCGCGAGCTTCTCACGGAGTTGTCCAGGCTGCGACCCTCGTGCCCCCGGCTTGGGGGCTGGGACTCATGCAGGGGCAGGGGCACGAGGATCCCTGCGTGCGTTTTCTGCCTTAAACACGACTTACAACATTCTCATCCGCTGACTGCACGTGTCGCTTAACCCGGTTATTGCCTCGGTTTTTTTCTCCGTAAAGATATTTCTAATCCAGAGACGACGGCATCGTGGGGCAAGGCAGGGAGAGGGTGTGAAGGAGATAAATTCACTGTATGGTCTTTGTGTCTTCAAAATTTTTGCACCTTGTACATGCCTCACCTGTTACTAACAATCTCTTCCCTGCTTCAAGATGGCACAGGTTCCTGAATAGAAACAGAGAGGTGCTTTTCAGGTTGGAATATTCTGAGATTTACTCAACAGAAGAGGATGAAGAGTAAGGTTTGCTCCTTGTCTTCAGTTCTTCCCTCTGTCCCCTCTGCAGAACCCAAATGATGTGAATGGTGCCATTCTTTCTACTTCATTTAACAAATATTCATTGACCTTCAGCAATGTGCCAGGGACTGTGCTAATCTTCAGGACACAACAGTGAAGAAGTGTGGGTCCCACCCTTATTCCCCCAGAGCTACTTGCCTGGAAGAAGAGGTGACAGGCACTAAGTAATAATGCATGATGCGAAAGAACAGGGCACTGTGGCAGCCTGGAAGCTCTATCCCCACCTGCTGCCAGCAGCACATAAGGTTTTGTAAGGCTGCTAGGAAAAGCCAATGCATAAACTAAGTCTTGAAGGTGAATTAGGCTAACCAGGTGTATCTGAGGTGAGGTCTTGGGGTCCAACAGAGGGAAACTATCTTGTCTGAGAAGAGGACTGAGTTCCAGGCAAGCAGCCCCATGTCTCCCAAAGTTGGAATTTGGGTCCTTTATTCCTCATAAGGGGCTCTGAGCCATGTCGGCCTCCTCACCCTCAAGAACTTTCCTGGCTTAGAGGAGCCAGCTATGAGGCCTGTGTGGGTAGAGGCTGGCTCCCCAAGGGCCTTCTATCTAAGGAATTATCCTTCAAATGGACCGCAAGTGTTTTAGGGGCTGCTTGGGAATAGCTAAGCCAATAAACTGAAGCAGAAATCATGTATGCTTTGTTCTGACCTCCCTGGCGGGGTGGAAGGGTTAACCAGGAGGGCTAGGGGTGCTCAGAGGGTCATCCGCAGGAGGTAGTCTCTCATTTATGTTTTCTGTTTCCATTCTTGCAGATCGAGAGTTTGATTCAATAGAGGTTTTCCAGGAGAGGGTGGGTGCCCAATCAATCACACATCACAGCTTCATCACATGCTATCCCTGAGGAAATAGGCCATATGAGCCTTGAGGAGTAAAGAGGAAGAAGAGAAGCCACCAAAGGGCAGCCAGGGCGGAGAGTGTGGGTGAAGAGAGGGACAGTCCCTTTCGCTTTGCATGGATTGTGATGGACGACTAGGGTGGGGGTGGGGGTGGGGGTTGGTGCTGTGTGTTTAAGAGCCTCTGGCATCTGTCCACCTGTGGATGACTCCCTCACCTGCTTCTTCCTTACCCCACACTCTTGTCTTCCTTAGTTATTACCCCAAAGAATTGCCAAAGGTATTAGCTTAGGCAACTGGCATATCCCATTGGAAGTCTGTTTCAGGGCTGGGAGCACAGCAAACACATCCCACAGGGCAAGAATAATGAGTTCTGGCCTAAGAGTCTAGAGAAGTCCTGGCCTCTAGTTCCATCTTTGACACTGTGACTACAGACAGGTCACATCCCCTCTCTGGGCCTTGGTCCCCTCATCTAGAAGATGAGTAGGTCAGTAACATTGCCAAAGTCACCAACATTTTGAGGTTCAATGTCAACAGTCTTGTTGACTCCAGAGGCCCTCAGGAAATAGGAGCATGGTGGAGGCCTGTGTGGTGGACCTGAACAGAGAGGCAAACAGAGAGGTGAGCAAGTCTGAGAAATCAGTAATGTCCTGGGATGAAGCTAAACCTGAATCTTCCCAGAGGGAAGGATTCAGCCTGAGGCCCAAACGAAGCTGTGCTGCTTATGTCCAACCTCAAATCTTTTATGTGGCCAGCAGTACCTTTGAGGGACTGGTGAGAGTGCTGGCCCACTTAGAAAAAGCCTGCTCTGAGCTGAGCTCTGTTTGCTTATCTGCGGCTCATCTGTTCAGCTAGAGGTGTGCTGGGCAGAGATGGACAGTCAGGCATCCCGCTGTCCTTGTGTAGGCATCCCTGTGCAAGTATGCCACGCTAGGTTTCACTGATCCCTGGAGAGCTGGGCACGAGGAAGCAAACATACCTCCCGCTGCAGAGGGAACTGCAGAGTCTTCAGACCCTGGGTCAGGCCCTCTGTCTTTCTGAGGCAAAGGAGAGCACCGTCCAGGTTGGGCCTGCCCCTTCCTGGGAGGGATGGAAAAGGGCAAATTTGGTTTCTCAGTGGAAGCTGAATGGAAGAGCTTTGGGTAGGGGCAGATGCTCTGGGTTCCAAGCCTGGGGAATACTGCCTCCTCCCCAGAAGTCTGACCCTGAAGTTACAGGAGCACTCAGGTGGCAGAGATGAACCAGAGGGAGAGCAGCTGGAGAACCAGCTCTGCCGCCAGACCCCTGACCTCCCCTTGGAGCTTCTCACTCAGAAATTGGCAAGCAGGTGCTCCGCACTGTCCCTCATCTCTGGGTTTGTCACATATGCCTCCTCCTGCCTTCCCCACACAGAGGTCTAGGACTGGCCCTATGCTTCACCGTGCCAGCCTCTCATCAATGCAGAGTAAGGATTCCAGCACTGGACCTGGGCCACTAGGGGCTCAGCATGATGACTGAGACTGAGGGACTGAATGTGAAGGGGCTAAATCAATCGGCTGAGCTCCCTTGCAACCCTGAAGGCCATTGTGCCTCAGGGAGGCTCCTGCCACATAAAGTAAGACCTACACCCTCAGGTCTCTATGTGGCATCACTCCCAGCTCTCTCTGCTCTGCACCTGCTCAGTAAGATGCTTCAGAAGAAGAGTTCTCTGCGCAGCCATGGGCCAAGGACATGGGATAGGAGCAAGGGTGGGAGAAGGTGGAGGGTGTCAGGATAAGAGTTTCAGTGGCAGGAAGCCCACATCAGTGGCTCAAAGGTCATAGGCAAAGTGGCAAATCAGAAGCTGGGTTGGCAAGCCTCAGTCAGGGCCAGGAATAGCTGTCTGAACCCTGGTTCTGCCTCCAAGTAGCTGTGGGAGTGTCTTCCCTCCTCAAGGCCTCATCTTCCTTGACTGTACTGTAAAGAGTGTGGGTTAGATCTTGATGGCAAATGGGTGCCATCCCACGTGTCAACTCAGATCACTTGTTACTGGCTGCCTGGAGTGCCCTGTTGAGGATTCTGAGGAATCTGTCCTTGGTGAGGAAATTCTGTGATTGATTAGTCATGCCTGCCTTGGATGAGTAAGAAGGTACATTCCACTTGATTATTTTGTTGTTGTTATTATCTTTATTATGAGTTGATTGAACACTTACGATGTGCCGGGCATCTCACATTAAATCTTTACAACGCTGTGGAGTATCAGCATGAAGCCCAGTGGTGAAATGGAGATTCCAAACTTGGCAACCTGGCCCTGACCCTGATGCTTTTTGCCACTTTGCAGTATACCACCTCCTGTTGATGATTCCGGACCTACCGCTTCTGATATATGGTTCTCTCTAGGTAAAGCGGGGTCAGGAGCCAGCAGGCCGATTGAGTCAGGAGCACAAACGCTGAATCGCTGGGTTAGAGGTGGAGGGCACCTAGCAAAGGATTTGGTGTTCTGCCCATCCCGGGAGCTCTTACAGGCTGCCTGCAGTGTGGGGAGCGCAGGACCAGCAGGTGGCAGCACCTGGCAGGGGGAGAGGAAGGGCTGACCCTGACTTAGCACGAAGTCCTTTAGGGATCATAGAGCCCAGGGTTCAGGCAGGCAAGAACAAATGAGGGTGTGGAGGAAGGTTAGCCAAGCGCCCAGAGGAGGAGGTCCAGGGCTTCAGCCCCACAGGGAGTCACCAGGGCCAGCACTTGAGCTCCCCCCGCTGTGTGAGCCTCTCAGCTTGCATGCCATGGTGCCTGCTGTGGGCTTTTTTTTCTTCCACTCTGGGAGAATGACTAACTTTAAGGACTAAAAAAAAAAGTGTTTTGATTACACTGCCTTTTTACCAACTGGGAGCATTAGTCACCGTGGATGGCTGCAGATAACGGGAAGGCTGCAGCATCCCCCTCCTCCCCCTCCTTCTCCCTGATTAGCTCGCAGAAGCCAGGGAGGGGACTCAAGTGAGAGAGAGCGCACCCAGGAGGGAAAACAATCCCCCTTGGACAGCATGTGTCCTGGGCATCAGTAAGAGGGCTGGGCAGCCCCCTGATGGCTGGCCCGCAGTAGGAGCCACCCACAGGGAAGGGCTGAGGAGGAGCTCTATGCCCACGCTCTCCATTCTGGGTTGGCTCTAGGTGGCCTGTTCCTCCAGGGTCTAGGACTGACCCTAGAAAGGGGAACTCAGAGGAAGTCACGGGCAATGTGGCTCCTGAGATGCGGCTTTGGGGGCTGAAAATGGGGAGGGAAGCCCAGAGGAGCCTATGATGGCTGCAATGGGCACAGTGCTCAGTGGGGCCAAGGGCTGGGCCCTCAGGGCACACACTGGGCTTGAGAAGTTCCTGCAGGAGGGGTGGTGCCCACTTTCTGCACCCTACACTCCAGTGTTCTCCCCTGCTCCCCAGCCCCAAGGGGGCAGTGTCTAATACTGTGGGCTCACCTCCCACCCAGAGCAGCCTTCATGCTCGTGCTTTGGCTCTGGTGAGGCGATGACGCAGGAGAGCTGGGGTGCTCTCCAGGTCTGGCCTGCTGGCTGGGGCTGGAGGTGGGAGCTGGCACCTTGTTGGAGATGGCAGAGAAGCAGGGACGATTGAAATGGCTGATCAGGGATGG